CCACGTCATGACTCTATGCTAGGTGAACAGTTACTGGAAATATCAGTATGTTAATTTTGGCTGACAACATCAAACTAAGGAAAAATATGTCATTAAAACATTCAACTTCAGTCTCTCATAATCTTAGAGAAATCTATCTATACAATGTCAACTAAAAATCGCTAAACTATAGGGAAAATAACTATGGAAAGAAAAACTCGATTGCCATATGAAAATATGTAATATGCTCTACAGATGTTCACTATGGTTTCCTAACCTACTGAAGCCCAAATCTAAGCAGTCCGTGATTGTAGTAACAAACACCTGGGAGGGGAACATTTCTTCAGAGCTGTAAAGTTCTGATTTACACCAATACACAATATATTTGACACATTCAGTAATCTCTCCTACAAATAAAAGATGGGATATTCTCTGCGTGTTCCTACCGCATACATTGTCACTATTAACATGGTAGAGAAATATGGTAATGGGATGCGAAAGTTCAAAGAAAGTAACTTGAAAGGCAAAGATCCTCACACATTAAATATGCACGGTGTAAAGTAGAAATACATAATAAATTAACCCCTTTCACTTCGGCAGACATTTCTGTGATGATCCATCTCTGTTACATAGACATTCAAAGAACCTGGTATTAAATTAATTCCTTAAATTAAAATAATAATAATTATCTTCCTAGTCAGATATATAGAAATGGGTCCGCTCAGCAGTTAAACTAATCTAGAACAACCATGAAATTATTCTCTGTCAAGTATATTTCGGTGGAAGGATGAAGTACAACATAATTATTTGTATAGATGTGACGCACCCCTAGCTGTGATGTTAACACACTTTATAAGAATCACGTTAATGGCTCCATGCTGCCATTGGAACTACTTACTTTCACGCTAATGGCTCCACGCTGCCATTGGAACTACTTACTTTCACGTTAATGGCTCCATGCTGCCATTGGAACTACTTACTTTCACGTTACTGGCTCCATGCTGCCATTGGAACTACTTACTTTCACGTTAATGGCTCCATGCTGCCATTGGAACTACTTACTTTCACGCTAATGGCTCCATGCTGCTATTGGAACTACTTACTTTCACGTTAATGGATTAACGTGAAAGTAAGTAGTTCCAATGGCAGCATGGAGGGCTCCACGCTGCCATTGGAACTACTTACTTTCACGTTAATGGCTCCATGCTGCCATTGGAACTATTTACTTTTCCCTCGATCATGCTTAGTTTTATTATCCTGCTATTAGTCTTTGTCAACTTCAAATCCCTGTTTTATTATCCTGCTATTAGTCTTTGTCAACTTCAAATCCCTGTTTTATTATCCTGCTATTAGTTTAGGGAGATACATCCAGCTTTAACACGATGGCTTTTGGGTTGAAAAGTTCTCTTTATTAACTATAGCCTTAATTTGTGATCATAGTAATTGTTTCTTCAGGTTGTTTTTATGTGTGTGCTTTGAGTACGCATTGTGAGTTTTCCGCTTTCCCGAAGAGAAACCAAAGGTTTCCATTTTTAGTCCATGGATTTTGAATCTACGTCGTTTAACAATATCGCCGAGAATAATATCTGTAGATGCTAAACACCTTTTGTGTAGCACTGCGGCTCGCATCTACGAAAACAATTCACAGTATTAGCATCAACAAATAGTTTATACAAAGTGCAGTTAACCGTCTGTACTCTAATATGTAATTAATATAATATTCACTAAAGGTTTCGACTTTTCTAGTTTTATCAATCTTTGATTTCCAACGTATTTAATATTGTGATTATCGTAAGTATAGATGCGAGAACGCTTGTAGAAAAGGCGAGAGTTCTG